AGTCAGTAATCATCCAAGATGTCTCGGTGCTCTCCTTGTCCTATTGATATGGTGATTTTCTTTAAAGTCATCATCGTTAAACAAAGATCACTGGGGGATGATGTCAGGCCTTCCCAATGTCTCTTCAGGCGCTTCCTCGGGCATGCCATGGCTTGTTCTCTGGTTTGCTCTCATGCAGGATATTCTTGCAGTGTATGTGGCAAAATATACATATATACACCTATACACAGAGTATGCATTCCTGGGAAGGTTCGTCTATACGATAAGTGATGTAAACTTATCAGAGATCTTCCCCAAGTTAAGTAGAGGGACTCCCAAAAAGAACTATGATAGCGGAGATCATAAAATAAAAATAATATTATACAATTCTAATGCAGAAACAACACTTGATTCTCACAAGACTGGGTGGGATCAGGAAATGCTGCTTTGGGTGCTGATGGCAGTAATATCTCCCATGTAGTGACGAGCATTCTTTCTGCTAGAATGTGCATCTATCAAAAGATGCACATCTTATCAAACAGTACTGGTAATTTCTTCTTGTTGGACAGAGATCCATCGTCAGCAAGAATGATGTAAGTGTAAGCTGTTTTTTGATAGATATATCACGAAAAGCAACAGCCCTGGGATCCATCCATGCAGACTAGCAGAATGTGGTTCTTGACTGTGCCTACAAGAGAAGAATATTAGAGATTACCCACCTAAGTGCCACTGTGTTTGGTCTCAGCCAGATGCCAACCATAGTCAGCCTATGTTAATCTCATCTGGATGGATGCAATGGGGGGTTCTTGTTAATGCACAGATTATTACAGACTGCAAGATTCTGTATTAGGATACATGCCATAGCTAAAGATGCCAGTAAGTCACTAGATGGAATAGCAGAGAACTTTCTGAGGCAACAAAGTGTTAAACAGTTGGTGAAACAGAGTAGTTCCCACCCATCTGAGGAAGGAATATTTGCATGCCCATGGGAGTGAGGAAGTCCTTATTTTAATGAAGACAGATGACCAAACTGTCTCCTGGACAAGGAAGGAGTATTGTGAGATTCAAAGTGAAAGATTAAATCTGTCTGAGCCCCTTTAATATAGCCTGAGAAAGAGACTTTTGGAGCCAAAAAGTTTCTCAAAGCGCTCTGATGAGTGTATGTTTAAATGCAGACTTTCTTGTGGAGGGCTCTCCTTACTAGATACAGCAAGGTATAAGCTATGCTTGGAGAAAGAAGCTGTGTACCTCCGTGCCAGAAGAGGACAGTGTTTCAGAGCGGTAAGGGAATGAAACAGAACCTTCTAGGCTGTTTCTAGTCTGAGCAATTTAATTGTAATTTTCCTTTTTTTTTCTTTTCACTTCTGTCTTTTGCAAACATCTGTAACTGATGTTTCATCTGTTGTAACTGTTGATGTTTCAACTGATGGAACTGTTTCATCTTTGCTGAAACAAGATGTTGTGAATAAAGTATTTTAGGAGGATCTCACATTAACACGGCTGCACTGGAAGGTGAGTTTGGGGCAACTGTATAACAGCAAGGCATTGTTCACTGGAAAGTACAGTAGATGTTTCATCTGGGGGACCTCAACTGGATGCTTTCTGCTTAGTCCTCTCAGGGCCTTCTGCTGCATGGAGTAGGTGGAAAGCTGGCACCGAAGGTGCAGATGCTCTGACATGAAGCAGAATGCTGGGACATCTGTTTGAATGGTAAGGGCTTCTAGGTGCCTTGTTACACTGGTCTGTACTGAAAAATTAGTTTTATGTCTGCTCCATTTCAGTCCTTCTGTCAGAGAGAACTTCAGTTTTCAGTCCCAAAGTGAAGGATCTGACTTTAGTTTATGTGTGTCTTCACAGATGTCTCATGTCTCCTGTTACCAGGCTCCACATAGCTTCTTGTTCAACAATAAAACACATGGAATTGTCCTGGGAAGGTGTCTGTGATCACCATCTGTGATCGACCAAAGGCAGTTTCACTCCCTAAGTGCTTCTGAAATGCCCTTTGGGGGTTTCCTTCCGTTTTCAAGCGTAGATTCTGGGCCTGGATTGGAACCACCTTTTCAAATCAATGGTGTCTTCTCCAGGCACTGAGGCACCAAAATTGTCTAGAGATTGGAGTTATGTATTTTTCTCCTTATTTTAAGTAAGTTAGAATATTCTTCCTACCAAAGCATTTCTTTGTTATTTGCTCTGCACCTCCTACCCACTGAGGCTGAGCTAGGCAGCGAAACTGAAACAAAGGGAAGAAGTTATTTAATTCTGCTAATTTATGCAGAAACTTCAGACAGTAAACTAATAATAACTGGAAAAAGCAAACAACTGCCCAGTGGGAAGAGTGGGAGATGCTGGTGTGCTTTCACAGGTAGTGATATGGGGGAAAGTGGCCAGGAAGTAAGTGGAAGGAAGGGTGAACTGTCTCCATGTTAGAGCATCCAGGAACATACTCAGCTCTCCTTGCGTGGAGCCCTGCTTGCAGTTTGTTTGAGGTCTGCCTTACCATGTTCCATGCATGCCCTGGGGAGCCTATCCAGCTGCTTCCATCCACAAATGCAGCTGCTCAGCCTCTGCCTACAGGATGCTGCTACAGAAGCTGTCTCAAATCCCACCTCTGCCAGAGCCTAGGGTTACCCCAACTTGGCCCGCCACAAGACACCTAAACACTACTGTTAGGAAGTGGTGTTTTTTCTTTTTAACTTCAGTACTGAGGTTAGGAAGTAAATGTAACATTGCATTTTTGGTTGAAAGGTGCTCTAAGAGGTCTTCTGTAATCTGAAGCCCACGAAGATCCCGAAGCTTCTCATTTTTATATGTGTTTATTGCTATTATGCACATGCCCTGTGGTCATCCTCGAATGTCTCTCATGCATGAGGTAGAGGACTGCCACTTACCTCAGCCATATGCTAACCATATGTGGAAGGTCCAGGCACTGGGTTCACTGTCTATTAATTTAACCACTGCATTTGGATATCTCCTGAGTGACAGACATGTCCTTCTCTTGCAGCACTCCAGCTGTCATGTGTGCCCAACCAGTTGCCCTGTCAGATATATCTCAGAGTGGCGTAGGCTGGGGCTGTTCACCTAATTCAGAGTTGTGGCTGAGCCCTGGCATGGGTGAGAGCACAACATAGCTTCCACCACACGCTCACCATGGTGTGAAGCTGCAGGGCGAAGCATCCCCTCACAGAAGGTGAGCACTGGCAGAAGCAGGCTTTCTTGGCAGGGTAACAGAGATTTTAGCACTTCCATCGCTAAGAAGTAATGGGATGAGGCAGGCACCCTCTCAAATGGCAGGATTGTGGCTGAACATCTGTGCAGCCTCCAGGCAGGGCAAACACCCCACATGCAGCAGGGCAGCTATGTTACAGGAAGTCAAGTCTTAAAAACAGCAAAGGCAATTTGAAAGCTGGCTGGTGGAAAAGCAAACTAAATAGAAGAAAGACACTTTGAAGTTACTATAAAATGCTGCAGAACTGCTGGGAGAATCATATTCAGAAGAGTGGTTCTCAATGGCCCCTTGTCAAGGGAAGTTACCAATGAAGGAAATCCTGCAGGGACTTCCCTAGGCTTCGTTCTAGTCAGTATTTCCAGTAATGAATGGCATGCTGACATTGAAAGTACTTATTCAAATGTTCACTTTAAATGAAGCTGGGAGAGAACATTGTGTACTGCACAGAACAAGCTCAGAATTCAGAATCATGATGCTGAAAGGATAAGAAACTGCTCAGTAAAGATGTGCTTAAGATGGGAGATTTCATCAGAACTGATTAAGTGACAAAGGCAGGCAATTGAGCAGTTCACAAAGATGTAGAAGCTTTGGAGGATCTGAATTTGAGTGCTGGCTAGCAGGTTTGTGCTGTTACAAAAATGTTGTCTGTGAGAGTAATCCTTTAACTTTACATGGAAAGTATGAAGCCTCTGTTGGAATGTTTTATCTTTTTGTTTGGGCTCTACACTCTTAAGAAAAATGTAAGCTGGCTGGATAAAGCCCAGAAGAAAGCAGCAAAGAAGATGAGAAACCGTGGCCTGTATGTGCATGTTAAGAGGTTGGGTCTGACTGCCCAGTCAGTCCCTAAGCAGCAGCAGCCCCCCAGCCAACTCAGTTTTATAACTTTTCCGCCCCATGTCAATGTCGTATGTTGCCCAGTTTGGGTCAGTTGTCCTGGTTCTGTTCCCTCCCAGCTCTTTGTGCCCCCCCAACACTTCCCCACTTACAGGACAGTTCAAGAAGCTGAAACATCATTGGCTCTGTGCAGTGCAGCAACAACTAAAACTTCAGCATGTTATCAACACTGTTTTTCTCCTAAAGCCAAAGCACAGCACAGAAGAAAATCAATTCTGTCTCAGCTGAAACCAGGACATTAAGACAAGGAGCAAAAGCTATACAAGTTTTGGTGCAGTGGACTTCTGGACTGCTCCCTGTGTGAACACTGTCTAGTTCTGCACCTTCGTCCTGAAAAAAGGTGTTGGATGAGTCCAGTCTGACAAATGGCTTTTCCAAACACTCCTGGCACTGCT